CCTCTAACAAAAAGATAAGGTACCGTTTCATACACAATTGTTAGGTCTATTGAAAAATAAAATATTCCACTGCAAAGTTTAATTAAGTTGTTATTGGTCTATCGAGCATTCGTTTGGTTCTTTTCTAGGAAAGATCTTACGCTGGGATCGTCCTTGTGTAAATAAGTCCATTTCGATTTTCCATTGCAATAGTGTCTTATTTTCACAGGCCAGTAATTTCCATACGAGTACGATGGAAGATACTTATCATTATTTTTGAAGAGAAAATCACACATTAAATTTAGAGAAGTAATTCCTTTGTTTAGCCCAGAGTCTCTTCTTTATTATTCATTTATTTTATTTTATTTCATTCATTCTATCATTTATTTCATTTCACTTTATAATTTTTTTTGAGTTTTTTTTTTCTCCTTTTCCTCTTCTCTCTTCTTTATTTTTAACTTACCAAGAGGTTGACATGACTGCTCACCGAGATATAATAATTTAGTATAAGACAATAGAAGGGATTCCCGTCACGAGAGTTGGTTTAATTATTGGCTTGCACTAAACCTATGAAAAATGGTATTTTTTTAATAGTAAGTAGATTTAGTGTGTAGCACTTTTTGATTTTTTTGCAAAGGCACAAGAAGCACGAGGATTGATTAAAAATTGTGAGTTAAAACCTCTATGTATCACGCGATGGCCTGATTCACTGTACCAAAATTATCATATCTCGGTGAGCATTCGGAAGTCAGCCAAGCGCGGTCATTGCACGCGTGCTGAACAAGAATGCTCTATCATGACTAACTAGAAACAATAGACAACTCCCAAAGCACAAACTCAGCCAAAACGCTAAAAATCTTCAATGTTTACTCAAGTTTGGGCTTATAGAAGATAATGTCACAGTTTTTCAATGACCATGAAATTCAAAGTCCGGGTACTTAGTTAATCAATTGTGGCCCTGAAAAAATTTGAAGGAAAAAAAAATACGAATTTTTAAGAAAATACTTTTTTCGTGAGATTGACTCTTAAAAGCTGACAAACGTCAACAAATTGCGAAAACTATAATTTCTATATGTTTGCTTTGCTCGAAATCGCGCGCATTTACAAGGCCCTAAATTGTTTTTCGGACTTGCAAGGACCCATCTGTTACAACGATGCCCAAAATACAGAGATGAATCTCATAGTTTATTAGATATAATCCGTGTAAAGTTTGCTTATCATTTTCGCATAAATTATGACCTAAATTTGGAAACCGCTGAATTTCTCGAATTGGGTCTTTGCGATTTTGGTGAAACTCTGTGTAGCCAAGAGATTTTCACGAAAAAATGCCGGCAACAGCAGATTTTCGACTCAGACCTCAAAGGGGCGTGGCATTATAACCACGTGACATTTACTCCGATCGCCAAAAATTTTATGTTATATTGTAGATTGATCTATATGTTATCCATTCTATGTGTTAGACTTACGATAAAAGTAAAGGTGGGGAAACCAGAGAGCTTCAAAGTAGGATGGTACCCCCCCAAAAAAACTGGGTCGATCGGGATACATTTGATTTTAGTCAAGGCCACGTGACCAAGAATCAACCAATGGCAGTCCCTGTTTAGTTGAGTGCAATTCTAAAAGCTTTGTCAAGACCGGGTGTTCAGTGTTCCTATATTAAAGTGAATGCAAGGCTTCTGGTCCTGACGTAATCTAAAAGACTAAAACAGAAAACATAAATCCCCAGTGTGAAAAAATATCTGAAATACACTGGTTATTATGAATGATAAAGCCGAAGTGCGACTAATACAGTCATGACATTTACTCAAGCCCAGATTTTATACGCTTCATTTTGTCTTCTCCTTTGCTCTCATCTATGCTTCATCCATTCCCCCAAATATTTGCTGTATTTAACTCCTGTTTAACCCAAAGGAAGTGAAACCAAAGCAAACTTTGCCTAATGCAGCCGCAAATTACAGATTTTATAGACAATTTTGATTTATTTTGATTTGTAAATTGCCTTGTCCATTTTCAAATTGAGCGAAATCCTTTTTTATCCATGGAATACTGCATTTATCCTTAGGTTGTCGTATTTTTGAATATTATATTTCAACTTTTTCTTAACCCAAACTGTATAAAAAAAAAACCACCATATATGTTATAAATGCAGACTAGTCAAATCACCTTACTCTGTTCCGAAGGTAATTTTCTATCAAGAATTAGTGGACGATAAAAAGCACCTAGTAAATAATCCAGCACTAATGCAAACGAATAAACATTAATGGTTTTGTTTAATGGCGTTATTGAGAAATAAGCTGAATTTTATTAACCTCGTGCAGTTGCTTTTCCCCAAAACTATTCTCTTATGTTGTATGGAGATCTTTGTATTAAATGTGTATTATTATCATTATTATTTGCTGTATTTACCCCTGTTTAAGCCAAAGGAAGTCAAAACCAAAGTGAAACCAAAGCAAACTTTGTCTAATGCAGCGGCAAATTTCAGATTTTATAAAAGATTTAATATATTTCAATTTGTAGATTGCCTCGTCCAATTTCAAATTTGGCGAAATCCTTTAGTTTATCCATGTAATACTGCATTTATCTTTAGGTTGTTGTATTTTTGAATATTATATTACAAGTTTTTTTTTTAACCCAAACTGTTAAAACAAAAACACCATATATGTTATAAATGCAAACTGGTCAAGTGACTCTGTTCCGAAAACGTAATTTTCTTTAAAAAATTAGCGGAAGATAAAAAGCACCTAAATTTAATCCAGCACTAGTGCGAACGAATAAACATAAATGGTTTTGTTAAATGGGGTTATTGAAAAATAAACTGAATTTTATAAACCTCACGGAGTTGCTCTATCCCAAAACTAGTCTCTTATGTTGTAAAGAGATCTTTCTATTAAATTTGTATTATTTGCATGTAAACTAATAATAAAAATAATAATGATAATGACATTGTAAATTGTAAAGACTTATAAATCATCATGATTTCGAAATCGATAGGAAAACATTATATCCCAACCAATAATACGACCATAAGTCACCTTATGTCAAGGAAGATAAAGAATTTGAGTTCTGATGAAACAGCCTATAAACAGAGGAGATCTGTTTGCTAGCCAAAATTGCCTTCCAACCAACATTTTGCTCAAAGTTAGAAGCAAATCTTATTGTTTGGTTAGGGGAGGGTATTAGCTTCGTAGATCAAACAGGGAAATATAACGAGTATTCTGTTATATGTTTTAGCCTTCTAAATGGTTCACTTTTTAAACCTAATCGAATTTTATGGACAAAATAACATCCAAGTGATATTTCTAGCGTTCACGGTTTTGTGAGTTTAAAAATAAAACCTTGATCCACGCCCAGATTGGTATTGTGCTTCACATTAGGGTTCATTTCCAGTTTTCTGTCGAGCACGGCCCCTCCTTCTACCCTTTCAACTACTGGAGTCCATGGGAGGCCAAGGGAAAGTCATTTTTTGATTTGTACGCTTTTTGACTTGATGACGGCTCATTTAGCTTCTTCTTATTTTAAATGCTAATTCCATTCGTCTCTGTTTACTCTGGCACATCTTTGTGTTTATACTAGCAGCCCTCCTATTACCGATATGAAATTTTACCGCAAGACCCTCTTAAGTTCAGTTTTCTCTTGCGAATAAAGGGATTTCCTGGGATATCTACATTTTAATTGATAGGAGGGGAAAACGCTGAGTTCTAGCATTCTGTTAATTCATGCTAATCTAAGGGATCGAGTAAACTCAGATAGTGCTATCGTGAAAATGGCCGGATATGCACAGACAAGCACACAGTCACGTAGCCTCTCTTGTTAGTACTTGAATCACCATGACAACAGGGGTTGATCGTTAAGGAAACACGCCATCTGTTCTGTTGATGGGATTCTGACCATTCATATTGGAGAAATGCTGTGACGTGATATCCTTTAAGAACAAAGCAACACTCCACCTGTGGAAACAGGTTTCACTTTTGCTTTTAGTCTGGCTGGGTGCAGCTACGTGCGCTGAACACAGGAGCTAGATTGCCAAGGTATATTTACTTAATCTAAACCAAGAAGGGACTTCGTTTTAGTTAATGGTCTCTTTGTTTACCATCAGGAAGCTATAGCTTGCTGGGAAACCATTCGCTTAAGAAAGTGCAGGGAAAGAGCACAAAATAATGCATTCATCTGAGCTTCTGTGTGGGTACCAACGGACGTTAATTTCGTCGCGCGTTTTCCATCAAATCGTTAGTTTTTCAGGCGAAATGGTCGGACATCAAATAAATTGAATGCTTTGCGTGGTAACGCTACTAGCGAGTTCAGTGTAACCACAACGACGACGGAAACGAGGAAATAGGCGAAAAAAAACTCTGTAAGTGCAGCAAACTTTTTGCAAGTTGCGTTGCCGTCATTGCACAACAAACGTTGACAAACGTAATTGAAATGACAATGCGATCGTCGCTTCATCAATGGTGATCGTCCCGACTTGGATTTAGTCAGAAATACCCATACAGAGGCTCATATCTCCAGTTTCTAGGGATTTTTACTTTTCAGTCTGTGCGTGTTCCTACAGTGCAAATACTTGCTATTGTATGTAGCAAAGATTACCTGCATGTTGTACAACCAAAGCAGCGAATTTAATAATCAGTAATCAAAGTTTTACGACGAACGCTTGCGCATTATCACAACACATTAAGTGACTCCAGATTACGTGCACTGTTTCTGCTCCCTAAAAACTAGAATTGCGTGTTCAAATAATGTAAATACTTAAGCTGATTTAAAATTCTTTTTTACACTCACCGGGCTTCGTATTACGCATGTGCACAGCAATATCCCTTTTGAAGAATTAGTCACCAAGGATTAAAAGTTAATCTTATTATGTAAACTTTGTTTTGTTCAAGTTAAGTAAATATTGTCGGACCACAAAACTGCTGGGTGATTGCGATGAACACTAAGCAACAACGTCTAACGTTTGTTGAGGTGGGGTGGGGGTGTAGTGCCTAAAAGTACCAGGCTAAAGAGTATCATCCTCTTTTCCACAGGCAGCTGAGGAGCTTTTGACAGATCTGGTCACGTGAGCTGGTCGAGTTGATCATCATGCTAAGTTTATTAATGTTACCGCTGGCCATAATGACTGCTGTGATGGCAACCGGCGGCAACAAACAGTCCGCACAAACTACGGTAAGCTCGTATAGAAAACTTTACATAAATTTTTTTCAAGGGCGTAGCATGAGATTTTGTAGCTGTACTTACGCGGGGAAGAAAAGTTGTAGTGCCAAAGGCGGCCCACTGTAGGGAGATCTGGGGGTGTGCTACCCCAGATCTTTTAAAATTTAGGGTCTTGGAAATGCCACTTCCATTGTTTTCTGCAGGATATTTTCAGTAAAATTTATACTTAGGAAAATGCAATCAGTTGTGTATTTTTCCAATCTCCAGTGTTGTCGGTAAGGTACAGTGTTTACGGGAAAAAAGGCTAGTGACGTCATCAGAATTATGGGATAATAAAATGATAAACGAAATACTAACACATAGACACCAATCAGTAGTGGCGAAAAATGTTTCATTCACTCCGATATAATGATAAAAAAAAATGCTTTTTCAGGAAATAAAAATATATTTTTATTATACCGAGTCATTTGACATGAGATAATGTTCCTTAGCGCGACCGAGAGCTGTACGTGGCGGCGTGCTCGTTTTCTGAAGAGTTTCGTAATCAAAGACTGACTCAAATTTGGTTGGAGTAAATTTGGCTACTAAAGGTGACGAACTTTATTCTCAAGATCTGCCAATATACCATACACAAATATCTCTTCAGCAAAGGTGTGGAAAAAAACCGCCACCAAATAGGTCGATACAGTTACACAAAGTAAATAATCAGAGCACAGGCAGGCAGCAGGGGAGGTGGTGGAAAATTGCGAGAATTCAGTTCCAGCCAACTGATGTGCACTGTTGTGATAGTGAGCAGTCTAAAGGGGCGAGCACATAGTAAAGCACGGTTAAGAACTATTGTCACCTGGAACGACCTAGATTCTAATTGGTTAGAAACCAGATACGCTCCATACCTGCCGCCTGAGCCTCAGGTCCCTTGTCTAAGTAAATGCCTTGTCATAAAATCCCATTATGATGACCTCTTAATGGTTTCTTTTTTCCCCCTATACATGTACGCAGGGGCGTACGTGAGTATATGGACGCGAAGTCGCTACGCCCCTGACATTTGACAATAGGGAGCTTAAGCAACGACGACGGCGACGTCAACGAGAACGGCAAAAAAGCAATAGGTTTGTTTTGGCAAAACAACAACTCTGCACGTGCATCACGCTTTTTTCAACATTTCTTTGCCGTCACTACACGACCACGACTTGAAAATGCCTAATGTCACGCTTGTGGAGGACTTGAAGACAAGACAAGGACTTTCTCGATCTTTCTTTTCCTGACCTTCGGTACAGAGTTTTAGAGTGAAACTCCAGAAATCGTTGCCAACATTTGACGAAATAAACGAGATGAAACAAGAGCAATAAAGTTTAACTAATCGCGACCTTACTTCATTTTCGCAGCCGTCGCCGTCGTTATTAGGGACCTTAAGATCCGAGGACGGCAACGGCACAGAAAACGTCGCTGAAAAAGTGAATTCGTGTTCTTTCAATTTTCATCGTGATTACTCCAGGTCACTAACTTTTTCCAATGTAGGTGAACCCTCCTAAAGTTGAATTCCTAAGAGCCATATCCAAGTGCAGAAAGATAGAGGAAATTTCGTCGTCGCTTGTGTCTTCTTCTGTACAACGTGAAATTAGGCATTTTCACCTCGTAGTCGTGCAGTGAAGGCAAAGAAATGTACAAAAAAGCGTGATGCACTTGCAAAATTGTTGTTTTGCTAATTAAACCTATTGCTTTTGTGGCGTTCCCGTTGCCGTCGCCGTCCTTGGATCTTAAGGTCCCTATTGCTTAAGCTCCTTAATAAAGCTATGAGAGGGGAAGATAAAACCTATTTAAGAAGCAGGCAGGAAAAGCGAACACATGAAAATGGTAAATTCCACTTTTACTGAATCTGAGACCTTAGGAAATTCAAAGTTTCAGTTGAAAGTTCGTTGGAGAAGCATTTTTTTTTTAGATAAGGTAAGCTATAGCTGTTTCTACTAAAAGTACGTACACATAAAGGCTTTTCTGCCTTTCAGCTTTTTGCAAACTAAACCTGAGTACAATCAGGATTAATCAGTCGAAGGATAACATACACATGTATTTTTAATAATTTTAAATATTTTCTTGTTTAAAAATAGCAGTCTCCATCGTTTTGTTATGGTGGTTGTGGCCTTCCTGGCGTGCCCGGCAAGCATGGTACTCCTGGGGCACCAGGCCGCGTCGGACGTGATGGACGTGATGGCCGTGATGGAGCTAAAGGTGATCAAGGATTGCAGGGGAAGACTGGACCTCAGGGACCTCCTGGTGATAAGGGACCTGCTGGTGCAAAGGGAAAAGAAGGGGCTAAAGGAGAACCTGGAGCCCAGGGTCCTCCCGGTCAAATATGGGAACTTAGCCCGATGCCCTTTAAGAACTGGAAAGAATGTGTCTGGAAAAACTTGAATGATAATAGGGACAGTGGTCTTGTCAAGGTGAGTCGTGTATTTGCGATTGATCGGCATAAAATTATCAAATTTGCACCCAACATAGAGCATGCAGCAGCCATTTTCCGAAAATCCTTTTGATTGCCAGTGCAGATACCAACAAACAGCTATTGGCTTCTGGCATGCTCTCTTATAAAACCACATCCTCTATATAGCGTCCTAGTTACACACGTAGGCTTGTATAAATTCTGTGGGCAGAATTTCGAGCGCATAAGGCACTCTTTCGAGCATTATCAACAGTTGGTTATTATCAAAACTTTTAAAAAATAGTGAAAATAGTAATTGCAAAATAAGATTAACATAGGATTAAAAAAATACTGTTTCAACTAATCCGAGCAAAACCAGGCGATGAATAGCCTGCGTAGCAGATGTTTGAAAGGGTGGGGGAGCGGAATTCCGGGCGCGCGATAATCGCGAAAGTCAGTCCCCCGTGCGCGGTCTCGCTCCCAAATTCCCTTCCACTTCACTTACGAACGCCTGTCACCCTGGCTATGCAATAAAATGCAATTTCGTTATGCGTCAATGAGAGTTATGTCCTTTTTCCCTGCCATGTTTGCAAAATTCAAAATGCCCGAAGGCCTGGAATTCTTTTCCCGGCATCCGGCACAATTTAGCTAATTCGTGTTTCGGTCTACCCGGTCGTCTTTCTCCAGGCGCGCCCTCGTTTTGTTTGGGGGTAGGGTTAACTACTCCTCACCGTAAAATATGATGCAGTTACTAAAACTACGGTGACAATCACTTCTCTCGCGCCGTCCCCACCATCTAAACGCCTTCATGGAACAGGCTATATTAAAAATAACTCTAGGACGGTGATATTAACAAGTTCAAGCGACTGGGTGAGACCAATTTTTATTTTTTGCAAACTTCAATTTAAAGAAACTGACTACGCTTGTAAAGTTTTCAAGAATGTCACGATTTTCATCAGTGTTTCGGGTAAAACTTTGAGGGTTTGGCATAACAGATGCATGCTTGTGTGTGTGATTACTGAACAGCTCTGAACAAAAAGGGTTAACGTGCAACGGTTTCTCTGGCCTGTATCTCATGGTAAGACTCTCAGCCTAGTCTCTGCTACTAACAAGGACGTTTCATCTCTCAGTTGACTCTGAAGACTTATGCGCCGATCAATTCCAAACTTTAACATCCCAAAGCAACCCCCTTGGCATTTGAACTTTTTAAGGCATGCCTGGTCAGATTCTTCTTTTCTCCTCAGCAGAGGCTCCCGCTGGGTATCCCATTGTCCCACGCGCACTTCCTTTTTATCTCTCCCCAGCTTCCCTACGATACAAAGAGGTCTTTGCGGATGAGAGAGAAATTATCCTTACAAATTACCCCAAGGTAGTGGTCAAATGCCTCTCTCGAAGAGGAAATGTTTTGCAAATTATATGGTGTGTGGATTAATGAAAAGTAAATGTTTCGGACGTCTTAAAGCAAGTCGGGCTTATATCTCCCAGTGATAATATACTTTGTATTAAAAAAGGAGGGAAATTGGGGTCATGGTAACAAAACTGGATACATGTAGCTTTTGAAGTCCTTGTCGAACAAGCCATTCGTTTACAAAAGATGTGTCTTAAACTTTAAAGTCTTCCATCTAAAGATCGCATCTATCGAACTACGTTGTTAGACGCCGGATCTTAAAAAGAATTTAACTTGAGGCTTGCGGTTCAAATTCACCATCCCCGGGCACAAGGGATGGTCAAATGCCCGGGGTTTGCCGGGGAATGTTAAGGTTTTGAA